GAGTGCTCACCAGCATGAAGCTTGTTCCAACCCATGTGGAACTGGATGCAGTAACATAATCTGAGTAAAAAGTGGGAGTATGAAGAACATAATTCAGTCTACTTGCTCCTCTAGTAGGACCAGTCCAGGATTGAGTCTCTTCAAAAGGTATATTAGTTAGGGTTGTCACTGTAACCAAAATATCTGACTGGAACAACTTAGAGGAGGAAAAGTTTATTTTGAGCTCCTGGTTTAAGAGGTCAGTTCATGATCAGCTGATTTTGTTGCTTTTTGCAAAAGTGAGGTAGAACACCATGGCAGAAGGGTATGGCAGAGGAAACGTGCTCACTTCATGTAGCCAAAAAGCAGAGAGAGTAACCTGTGCTCGTCAGCAATAAAATATATACTCCAAAGGCATGTCCCCATGATCCATCCTTGTGCCACACTCTACCTGCCTTCAGTCACTACCCAGTTCAGTTCTTTCAAATCATTGATTGAATGGATCGATGCACTGATTAGGTTACAGTCTCATAATCTAATTACTTTGTCTCCTGAATTAACATAGGAGATTGGGGGGACACATGGGTTATCAACAGGAAATTTTATCAACACCAACATTTAACAAAGGCAAATTGAGGGACAACCACATCCTGTTTGCAGTGACAGTTTTAAGACCATAATTTATTTTCTTCATCTTCTTCTTTTATCACTTGACTTAGTCCATTCCTGTTGATGTAACATACCACAGACTTGGTAACCTATAAATTATAGAAATTTATTTTTCACCATTCTGGACACTGCAGGGTCCAAGATCAAGGTGCTTGGTAGATTTGGTGTCTCCTAAAGGCTCACTCTCTGCTTCCAACATGGCCCATCATTGTTGTGTCCTACATGGTGTAAGGGCAAAATGACTTGGTTGTCCCCTTCAGCATCTTTTATAAAAGCACTAATAAGTACCATTTGTGAGGTCAGAATACTCATCACTTAATCATTTCTCCAAAGTTCTCACTTCTTGATACTATTCACCATGAGGCCATCTGAATGTTAGAAAGATAAATACATTCATATATAGCACTGCACGGTAGGCTTTTTTATGCACAGGGATATTTAAGGTGCTCTATGTTCCTTGTGAAATGAAACAAATCATCTCCTAAGAAGTCCTGAATTCTTACTTACCTTGGTTCGTTTGACTGTGATTGCTGATACTGTTAGTTCATCGTGAACCTGAGAAAAGTCAGTTGATGTCCTTGGTTCCAAATAAATTCCTTCATAGCTCCACTATGAAGGGATAACTCTGATTTCTCACTGTAACCAGGGTAACTTAAAACCACCAAGGTAAATTACAATTTATTCCAAAACTTATTGACTTAAAACAATGAATATTTTATCCTAGTTAATAATTTTATTCTTGTTTTGACCAGAAATTTGGGTTACATTTAGTTGTGTGACACTTCTGAACTAAGGGGTTCCAATGAAAGACACTCTGTTGAATCATGATGACCTCATTCATGTCTGTGGTCTTGTTGGGGATGGATAGATGCACGGCCATTTGTGAATGTCAATTATAGTGTCCCCATGTTTCCAATCCAAACTGCCACCACATAGAGCCACTTGTTAGGATGTCCATCACCATTGGTGTGGATTCTCCCAGTATCAGAGTCTGAGACAAAGGTCTGAGTGAAAGAGTTTTCTTTTTTAAAATGATCAATGGAAAAAATATAGGGCATCTGGATAGAGGACCAGGGGAGTAAAATAAAAAGGAATAAAAGTTAATAAAAAACAAGTCATTGATTTGCTCACCACTGTAAATAACTGCTATTCTCTCTGAAGCTTTCTCTTAAATACATTATGCAATGTATCTCAGAATGGAACCTCCAAAAAACGAAATGAAAAAGCACTTTTATTGGCTCTCATTTTTATGGATACCAATGCCTTACAATTCTAGGGAGAACATGATTGTACATATGTAAGACTGTGAGTTGAATAGTTTGTGGGGCCCCACATTACAGAAGCAGTGAAGACATAAAGTACCAGTCCAGGAGAGAATCCCCCAATGACAGCTGTAGAAGTGGCAGAAATGGTGATAGCAACAGGCATTATAGTAAAACTTGAGCCAAAAGAAATTTGAAATTGTGTAAAAGAAGTTTTCAAAACACAGGAAAACCACCAATGTCAGGGTATGACGTTGTCTGACAGTTCTAATTTCAGTGTTTCGGTTTTTCTATTTATTGAAATAAAATAGAATATATATAGTTTTGGCAGCTAGAGATGGACCCTAAAGACACCTACCTTTAGATTTATTGTCTATGAATAGATTTTAAGCAGTTCAACTGTTCATCAATTTTGTACCAAGAAAGAGTAAACTGAAGTAAGGCTCTACAGAGAGTCTTGAGCAGTGTGAATGTTTTCTCTGGTTGTTCTTGGCTTACAAGGAACACAAGTGAATGACCAGGAGGTGAGTCACAGGAGTGCGGGTTTTTAATATGTAGATGTCTTGTCTATCTCTTAAGTCAATGTAAACCAAGGAGTATACACCTTAGAGAGAGACTGAACCATCAGGGGGTTATCTTAAATTTGATTCAGCCTTTGTTCTCACTTACTGTTTGTACAAAGTGGACAAGATAGCTATGTTTGATGATTGAATCTTTGCATGAATCCACGAGCCTGGTCTCCCTCTTAATCTCACCAGATATTAAATGTTGGCCTGAAGGCAACAAAGATTGAAACAGATGCTTCTACATGATCCCCTTCTTCTTAGAGATCAGCCCGCCAGTAGATAGTAAGATGACCATACAGGTTCCTTTGCACCCTGAAGATGGTAGCAATTTTGTAATTGGAATTGATATGAATTCTGGTTATGTGTTACCCTCCTCTACTTAGAGAATTATGGGAAAAATCTGTTTAAGGATTCATAGTGTCTGGTCTACTGTTATGTGACTCTGCTACACATCATCTCAGACACGTTTCTGATTTTACAAAAAAGAGGAACAACAATGTGAATGTAGTTATAGGATCCACTACTTCTTATACATCACAAAGATATTGCTAGCTTAATAAAGCAGTGCAATGTCCATTTGGTGATGTAATAAGAAACACTGTTGAGATTGTTCATTGGCATTCAAGATCCAGTATATAGTTGATGAACTAACAGCCATTGCATGCTTGCTAGAATATATAGGCCTGAACACTAAGGAATCAAATAAAAATGTTCTTCATTGACTCAATTATAAATTTATGATCCACTGCCCACATCCTGTGTTTCTGCTGGACTAGAAGGATGGTTCTAAGGGTGGAATTAAGCAGTATTTCTCCGAAGTAAGATGTAGTAAGGCTCCATTACATCTAAAACTACAGCTGTCATGCAAACTCTTGTATTATATAAAACTTACCATTGGACCATCCAGCAGACAATGAATGAGATTGCTTTATTGGCAAGCTTAACTGCCAATAACTTATGTGAAGAGATTATACATGATTAAAGGAAGGAAGAGTATGTCTTGGTTCTTGAGGATTAATTGGGAGTCTCTTGTCATTTCTGTGGTCTGTTCAATATATTGGTAGTGAGCACACCCTAATTGGAACACGAAAAGATTTTTTGTGTTCCAATTAGGCTGGCTACGTATATGCAATCTAGAATGGATAGAAGAGGGGGAAGATCTTGAGTATCAATTATGACCATGAAATCAATGGCAGTAATAAGGGCTATAGCTTATATGTTCCTATTGTGGGTACATTTTAAAAAAGTAAACTATGACAAACCATCCATTTGAAGAAGTCTTGAAGTAAAGGAGTAGATTTTCTGTGAGGTATGAGGGGATCTTGGCAAATAGAAAATGATCTTCACAGATGCTGTGGGTGCCTCACCCATCTCCCCTTGCTACTTACCCTTTCTGCATATTCCAGTGGTATCTAACAACAAATATTTTAGATACCCTACGTTAGCATTTGCTCTCAAGGCACACATAGCAAGGCCAACAATGCTAGGGAGTCATGCTGCCAGGATCAGTCCCCGAACAGATATTGAAGGAAGTTGGAGGAGAAAGCTCCATCCTAAGGGCCAGATTCCCAGGCAGATTTTACCTGGTTTCCTGGAGTTAGCTCCAGGGGTTAACCTCGTGGTTCACACAAAAGGAACCACTGGCTCTTTCCCCATTCCTTGGCTTCATTCCCTTCCAGTTTTCATTCCCTATCTCCTACTTTGCTTTGTTTTATCATCTTCTGAGCAAATCCCTCAATCTCAAATCCTTGACTCCAGAATGGAACCTCAGGAAACACAGCCTAACAGCCCCTGTGTTCATTCTAAATTACAAATAAAACCAACGGTCCTGTATGATTATTGTCCGAATAAAAAGAGATATAATTATTTAAAATGCAGTAATGATGTGGGTGACAATTACGACACACCACAAATCAGAAGGACTCTAGGAAGTGCTTGGGTTTGAGCCTTAAGATCTGATTATCAGTAGCTCTGTGGTTTTGAACAAGTGACTAAACCTCTCAGGGCCCTGGCTCTTCAGTTGGGAGAGTTAAAATAGGGTACTCCACATAAAGAAGTGAACACTGTACAGGGAGTTATAGAGTTATAGAAAATGTTTAATAAATGTCTTCCTTGCCAGCATTCTTTGTGTGTTATGCAGAAACCTTTATCTTTTCCTGTAAATTAGTTCTTAGCTCCTGAAGCTTCCATAAAAAAAAAGAAAGAAAGAAAGAAAGAAAGAAACAACAACCTTACTCCTATGTGAGTGCATTTAACATTTCAGTAAACTAGACCTACAAGAGTATGTTTTTCCAAACTGGAGATAAATATCATCTCAAGCTAGTTCAAATAACACACACTTGAAAAACCTGCAAAAGTTCTCAAAGTTTTCCTTCAGTAACACAATGCAATTTCTGGGAAATCATGCCAAATATCTTGAAACCTTCCACCAGAGGACGCTCAGAATATCCCCTCTGCAACTACCTAGTCACTGAATTTGCTCTGTGGTTTCGGTTTTGTAGAGAAACTTTGAAAACCCCTTGGACTTTTGCCATGCTTACATTTCATATTCAAATACTCCGCTGGGAGGCGGGAACTGGGGAAGAAAGAAACTCCCCAGGATTGGAAGAAGAGCTCATCAGAACTCATTACACCTAAACTAAAGGACAACTGTTGAAACTCACCCTTACCAAGCCTTCCTGAAAGCAGCTTTTCTGCCATTTCTAAAAGCAGCTTTTCTCTCTGCTCTAGATTTTACAGGTAAGTTAAGATTGTGGGCAGGTTGGGGGGCGGGGGGGGGGGCAAAAGGGAGGAAGATATTTGCAATGTTCAGGTATTTTTAAAAGTATTCCATCCAGGATAGGGTGCAAATTTTTCTGAGGTACTACAAAATGAACCCATTGAAGTCTAAATTGATGTGTAGCTAGATAACAGAATTCATTCAGTGTCTGCTAAGTTTGTTTCCTGCTTAATTAGACACAAAACCAGTGGGGGCTAGCTAGAACTTGAAATGTCTAAATATGTTTTATCCCAGAGGACACAAACAGGTTGAGTTGTAAATGGCAGAGTGGAAGTTGTGTGTGTGGCTTGAACACAGTCAATATTCCAAGATGTGTCAGAGATTTGGCTCTTCGAAAAGCACTAAAGATGCTATCCAGATCACACCTGGGAACAACATAAAAAACACTATTACTGATATTGATACACAGAGCTATTCTTATTCATGAAGAAGTCTAAAACTTCAAAGCTGTTTTCTCTCACATTAGTAACTTTACCTCAAAGAATGAGAATTTATAAGTCTCCAATGTCTGAATACAGATTTGGTTTATAAATATTGCTTTGTAGCTAATTATTGTAGATCATGATTGGAATTTTCCCACATCTTTCTAATCTAAATATGATTCTAGCCCCTGTAAGTCAGACAACCAGAATTCTACTAATATAAAGTACCAATATTGCAGTAGAAGTGGGTTGGAAGGGAAAGACATCTGGCATATGGAATTTCTTGCCTCTGAACACATGGTACTGTACAATTTGTGAATGGACTTCCTACTATTTGGTACCAAGTAGCAGTTTCTGTTCTAATTTGTCTTTCATCAGGATGGTTGATGAGAAAGGTCATTGACTATGAGAAAGGGATCATCAAAACCAGCAACAACAACAAAGAAATCTACAGTGTGTATAGTCTGCTAGCAAAAAGAATCCAGATGTTTAAATTTTAAGACTTTCATGAAAAATGAATTCAAGCAGATAGTGGATTTTTAGCTTCAAAATAAATGATGATTTCTAAAATGGAAAAAATAAAAAAAACCTTCTCCTTATGGCATGACAGGTCATAAAAACAACAATTTGCCTTTATGTTTCACATAGCTTTAAAATATTTTACCAAAGACTCTTCAGGTTACAGGAGTTGATGCCCAGAAGTAGAAAATTAGTGGTGAAAAATTATTAAATGAAATTTTTTTCATTGATATAAACAGTCATAAAATGATAACACTTTGAAGTTTTGTTTCTGTAAAAGAAATTATTAACTAAGTAAAAATCCCTTTGAAAAGTATAGCTTGAATAAACACTCGAATTTATTGGAAAATGAAACATAATGGCATAGAATTGTTTAATGTAATGCAGTCTAGACATGGACCTAAATAAGAGAAAAGCAAAAATTTATATATAGCAAATAATGAAAATAAATTTTCAAAATAGGGATTTTAGGAGGTAAAAACTGAGAAACATGAGTAAATCAAAATCCAGTGGAATGAGATAGATGCAAAAAATCAGAGGGTAAGACTCAGGAAATTAATTTTTCTTTGTTCACCAGCTATTTAAGAACAAGCAGGGTAGCTGATGGCTGGCCTAGGACCTAGTTTACCTTGGTGCTTTTAGCTATATCTTTTTATGTTTTGTTTTGTAATGTCTTCAGAAACAGGCCATGCTGGAAAACAGTTATGTTTTCAGGTTCAGTAAGCAAAATGTCTTTCTCTGCAAGAGCTAATATTACTGCCCATCCCATCTCTTCCTTCCAGACAAAGAAACACCCCAGACATGACCTCAGAGACCTACATGCCAGGCCCCATGTGCCTCATCGAGAACATGGAGGGGCAGCTAGTGGTCAAGCAGGAAGCCCTGCAGATCCTGTCGGCCATCACGCAGCCCATGGTGGTGGTGGCCATTGTAGGCCTCTACCGCACAGGCAAATCTTACCTGATGAACCAGTTGGCTGGGAAGAAACAGGGTGAGTGACACCAACAAAGCTCTGCTTAGCCCTCTGTCTACTCCACTGTGGACACTCTACATGGGGATGGAGGGGAGAAAGTTAGTGTCAGGGAGGAACAGTGAAAACTAATGTTTAGGCCATAGTTAGGCCTTTTAACTTGGAGAGATTGTTTTAAAGACCTAAGACAGCAGGAAAAAATTTTATTTGGCTGCAGCCAGGTTCAGAGGGCACAGCTTTTGCTGTAATCAATCAATCCCCTGAATCCTGAATTCAGGTAGTTTCAGAATTGTATACCCAGAATGTAATGGGAGGGGCTCAGAAGTTCACAGTCTGCAGAAGATCACATAAAAGCAGCTTTTTCTTTCACTGTTTTGGGCAAGATAACCCTTCAAGGATAACACCTGAGAAGGGGAGAGCTTCTTCTCCCCTTTCTTTCCTCCCCTTGCCAGCTGTTACCATGGAGCCCAATTGGTAACTTATCTTATAAATGTAGACATCTCTGTGAAGCCTCAGCTCAAGGCCAGAGGCCTCATTTACACATTTCTACAAACTACTATACTGGATAAATGTTTGCAAAGAACTAGTAAGGGGGTGTCCAGCACCTGCAGTGCTGATTTCTTCCAGGCTAGTGACCAAGTAAAATAGGGCATCACAAAAATAGAAAGTTTACCTACATTGAACTCCTTTGTAGAGACTCTTTTGCTGACAGTGTAAAATCAACCATGGTAAAGATTTCTGGAGAAGCTCAGTTAAGATTTTCTGTGGAGAAAGGGGTGCCACTATAAGATAAAGGGCAGATTTCTGTCCCTGACATATAAACCCTTTTTAAAAATGTTGACCTTAATGTCTTTCTGAGAGAAACACAATATATTCCTCTCATAAGGAATAAGACATCAATGAAATAATCTCCATATGTGTAATTATAAACTTTAAAATTTTACTTTAAAATTTAAAATTTTACTTTTTTATTATTATAAAAAACATAAAAATTTCCCACTTATGGAATTTGACTTTATTTCCCCATTTCTCTATTGTAATGGAGCTCAACACTCCTATTTTCTGCTGTTTCCTTATCTTGCTTTCCTTAAACCCTAACTCAATTATCAAGAAAATATGCGAATTCTAGATCCCCTTCTCTGTGACAACCCCTGCACTCCCCTCTGCAGGCTTCTCTGTGGGCACCACGGTGCAGTCTCACACAAAAGGAATCTGGATGTGGTGTGTGCCTCATCCTGAGAAGCCAGGCCACACCCTAGTTCTGCTGGACACTGAAGGCCTGGGTGATGTAGAGAAGGTAAGGACAGAGGATTCTTTTATGATTAAACTCCTTATCACTGAACACACTTTGTACAAGGAGTTTTTCATTTGGTTTTTGTTTTTATGAATTTGTATTTCCACTTGACTGGACTATATTGCCCCTCATTTTTTCTTTCCATTTTCAATAGTGTTTGGAAGTCTGAAAGTGAGGAAATATATTTATAATACAGAATAAGTATTAGAAGAACTACACTGATGTTTTGCTTAGTAGTTGCCAGATGCATAAATGGTGCAAATAAAATCACATTACAAGCCTGGTCTTGCACTGAATATGGTTAGTAGCGGGTTGAAGATGAGATAAAATTCTATTCAAATCAGGACTCTGGCACTTGTAACTCTCTGACACTGACAAGAAGAGTAGGTCTCCCTAAATCTTTTATTTTTTCTCTAGAATTATTCAACAGTACACCCATAGGTCTTGTCTAACACATGAGCCTTTTCTAGTTGTATGCTAGTAAGTATTTAACAACCAGCTCATAGAAAAAAAGAAAGACTTGACCATTCCCTAAATATTTTTATCATAACTAAATACAAGCTACTCAAGTGAAGTCCCTAAACTCAGACTTGGGAAGAAAGGTACATAGTTGGATCTTATAAGCTGATTTTTGTACCAAACCAAACGATCTCTTGAATGCCTACTGTTTTTTATATTTTGATTTTGATTTTTACTTCTGACTTATCAAGATGCAAAGATGTTAAGACAAAATTTCATCTTCTGTTTATTCATATACAAAATGGAGATATTAATTATGAGCTCATCTTATAGCATTAGAATTAGATGTCTAAGATTGGTAATATGAACTCCCTGTGGATAATAATTTTATAATAAAATAGATATATGGATTGTGCAGATAGGCCAATTTTGTTTTGATACCTGGAAAACCTTCATTTTAACTACTCTGCTTCCCCCATTAACTTTGACTACACCATTTGCAGTTATCTAATAGTAGCTATAAGAGGGACTTGGGAATTAGAAATATATGCATTAGTATAAAATTATAAATGAGGAAGTTATGCAAGTTCATGTGTCTGGCAATCACTTGTGTTTTCCCTGCTTAACATTTGTATATCAGGATTCTATTTTTAATGATTGTTCATTTGGGAATGCCGTTTGACATGACTTAAATTTGTTTGACTTCTAGGATGATGATAAGAATGATACCCAGATCTTTGCTCTGGCAATCCTTCTGAGCAGCACCTTTGTATACAATACCATGAACAAAATTGACCAGGGAGATATTGACCTACTGCAGTATCCTTTTGTGCTTCAGGATGGCACCAAAGCCACAGAGAACACCACTCACCAGCTGCAAGTCTATGAGACTTTGTAAATCCCCCAAATGAAAATGTGTAGACACTGAACGTACAGACAAGAGCCCTCATATTCTCTGATGAGAAAATGTTTATTTGGCTGGTTGCCAAGTGGAAAATGCAGGTTTGGGGAACATGGGATCAAATATGGGCTTAGATGCGGTGCTATTTCTGCTAGTTTTCCTTAATCATCTCAGCAATGTGACAGAACTGACAGATCTACTCAGGGCAAGGAAGTCGCTTGATCTTGGACACGAGGATGCTGATGACATTGTAAGCTTCTTTCCAGACTTGGTGTGGACTATAAGAGATTTCTACCTAAGCCTGGAAATAGACGGACAACTCATGACAGCAGATGAATACCTGGAGAATTCACTGAAGATAAAGAAAGGTAACTGGGCTTCTGTTTTGAAAAGAGGAAGAAAAGTAACCCAGGAAATGATATGTTTTGGGTAGAAGGCTAAATGTATATTTTTCCTATTTATCAACATAGCTGTTTTACAGAATATATAATGAATATTATTAATTTTCAATGAACTCATAGGCTCAATATCAAACTTTATTACTCCCTTTTCTTGGGAAAAATATTCTTTCCTTTTTTCCTTTTTCTGATTAAATACATTTAATCTGTTTGCTTAGGGTATATGAAGATATATTTAACTGAGGATCACCAAGAAAAAAGACACGTATTCAAGGACAATGTATTAAAGTGAGTGTAAATTCTAAAGAAAAAAAATCCTGTTTTTCCTTCTCCAGGTAGTGATCAAAGAACACAAACTTTCAATTTGCCGCGGTTGTGTATTCAAAAGTTCTTTCCTACAAAGAAGTGCTTTGTCTTTGACACACCCACTCACCAGAAGAAGGTCTCCCAGCTAGAGACACTGCAGGATGATGAGCTGAGTCTTGAATTTGTGCAACAAGTGGCAGAATTCTCTTCCCACATCTTTACCAAGTCCAAGATCAAGATTCTTCCAGGAGGCATCAAGGTCAATGGCCTTCGTGAGTACCTCTTCAAGGATTTTCCTTCTACTTAGAATAATGTGTAGGAGATATATAGGAGGGTCCTTGTTGTGCCAACCTTGAGAGATGCATAAGCAGTTACCAAAATTATAATGGTGCTCATTTTCTTGGTGATCCTCAGTTAAATATATCTTCAAATACCATCATGCAAATCATATGCACCATGTAAACTTATAGTGAATATGAAACATATCTCTAGTATTTGTTTTAGTAATGCCTTTAAGGTTACATGAAATAAGAACATGAGGATAAGATGAAGTTAAAGATGTTGTATCCTTCCGTCTTCCACTGTTGACCTATATTAGGTCATATGTGTTGGCAGCATTTGTTTAATAAATATATTGGATTTTTAAGGTATGTTACAATGTTTTAAGGCACAAATTATAAATATATTCCTTTTAGAAATGCAACTTGATTGATACAATTGTTGAACTATGCCCCAAGTGGTCTAGAGCCTCTGAAAATATCTAATCATACTTCTTGCTGTAGCTTTCCATAACAACTCTATGTTTCACAGTTTTGTAAATAATCACTATATTATGCACAGAAGTTAAGTGCAAATGACAAAAAAGTAAAACAAGGAAGTTCTAACTAAGAATAAAGGAATATTGTTCTAATTTATTCAATTTGCCCTTTTTCAGGGAATGGCATCTCCCATACCAGTGTATGTATGTATATATGGAGATACCATACCAGTATATATATTTGCATATGATTTGCATGATGGTAACTGCTTATGCATCTCTCTCTCTCTCTCTCTCTCTATATATATAGATATATAAAATTTATATATATATATAAATTATTTTTATTTATATATATATATATATATATATATATATATATATATATATATATATATATGAGATCCTAAGCAGCTAGGAGAGACCCTGTCTGAAAAAAGAAAAAAAAAACATAAAAAGTGCTGGGATGTGGCTCAGTAGTTAAGCACCCCTGGGCTCAATTCCTAGAACTATATGTTTCATGAATATGCATGACTTTTACATGATCATATGCTTATTTCTCTGCATAGAATTAAATAATGATATACATCTAGACATTTTTCCTGTCTTTATCCTCTGACTCCTATTTCATTTTCCTAAGAAGGAAATACCTGTCTTCTTAATCTCACCATTTCCCAAAGGAATTTGTCTGGGACACTTGGATCCTATTCAGAATGCTGAAAATTTGGGGGTAATACATTGTTCAATGAATGGTCTCAGAATTAATGACATAGATCATAGACTTTTTCTACAGAGAACACAAGCATCTCTTCCTTCTGTGCAGGTCTAGAGAGCCTGGTGCTGACCTATGTCAATGCTATCAACAATGGAGATCTGCCCTGCATGGAGAATGCAGTCCTGGCCCTGGCCCAGAGAGAAAACTCAGCTGCAGTAGAAAAGGCCCTTGCCCACTATGACCAGTTGATGGGCCAGAAGGTGCAGCTGCCCACAGAGACCCTCCAGGAGCTGCTGGACCTGCACAGGGCCAGTGAGAGAGAGGCCATAAAAATCTTCATAGAGAACTCTTTCAAGGATGAGGACCAAAGTTTCCAGAAAGAATTAAAGGTAATTATTTATTTTTCTTGTTCATGGGCATTGGGTTAATAGAATGAACAATACTGCTATGAATAATACAATAGGAATGGTTTAAGAAAAGCAATTCCTTCTATACTGGAAAACAATGGTGATCATTAATGTGGCATGATATACTTTCCTTCTGAAAACAAAAATGTGTAAATATTCTGGGACTTTTACAGTCTGAATTTTTCACATAGTCACACAGCTCACATTTACCATTTAACATCCATGGAATTAATTTGATTGATTGATTCATTCCTTTAAAACATTTGCAAAATATTATTCTTGTTTTTCATTAATTAAGCAGAGAAAAACTGTCCTTTATATCTACTAAATTACGATTAGGATTAATAGAATAAACTGACATCATTCCAACCAATTATTCAACTCTGTTTTCTGCTTGATGTAGGGAAATGTTGGAAAACAGTAGGCTGCATTTAAAATGAGGGCTTGAGGCTAGGGGTCTGTGGTCTTAAGATCACATTTAAGCAGAAATTAAAAGACACAGGAATTTCGGAATATTTCATAGACAAATGTAAATATTTTTCATAGACTCTCGTCCTTGCAACTTCCTCCAGGATTGCTGGCAAGGATATAGTCCTTGGAATTTCTAAGAAAAATAGAGACTTTAAAATATAAATTTCAGAAGTACTGAGGTATGTTTAACACCTCTGTGGGTTCCTGTCCCTTTGAAGACCCTACTAGATGCAAAGCAGAATGACATTTGTAAGCAGAACGAAGAAGTCTCTTCAGATCGTTGCTCAGCTTTGCTTCGGGATATTTTTGGTCCACTGGAAGAAGCAGTGAAGCAGGGGGTTTATTCTAAGCCAGGAGGCCATAATCTCTACCTTCAGAAGACAGAGGAGCTGAAGGCAAAGTACCATCAGCAGCCCAGGAAAGGAATACAGGTATCCCTGGTTCTGTCTATTAATTACGGGAATTTCTGGGGCCTCTCTAATAAGCCATTGAGGACAGGAGAAAGGAAATGTCTAGAGGAGTAGAGATGAGATTGTTGTCTCTGCCTCAGACTCACTGTCACTGAATGAGCATGCATGGGTATTTTGTGCTTGCTATTTAGTTTCAAGTGTGAACACATTCCAGAGTTGAAACAGTGTCAGCAATTCTCCTGCTTCCTTTTGATGTTCCAGCACTTCTTCATTATTGTGCTCCATTTTCCTCACTATTGACTCTATTTTCAAAAAGGCTTGCCCTACATGACAACAAAGAGATACCACTGGGTGTGAGGTCAACCGATCCTCACTACCTTGGTGACAGAGCAAACACTCTTGTTGCAGTGAGTTTTTTTCATCTAGTGGCGTTGGGTGCTCTTAATTGCCCTGACACGTTCTGAACCCTACCTGTGGAGAGGCTTGATGGAACAAAAAACGTGATTTTATCACTTTGCCAATCACCACTGCCAAGTTCTAACTGTATGTTTTTGGTGTTCCTAGGCTGAGGAAGCTCTGCAAAAGTATTTAAAGTCCAAAGAGTCTGTGAGTAAAGCTGTTCTACAGACAGACCAGGCTCTCACAGCCAAGGAAAAGGAGATGAAAGGTGAGAAGAGAACAGAAACAAAGTAAGAGAGACAAAAAAAATGTCCAAAAATGTGAAATTCATATATTCTGGCCCAGCTGAGTTCATTCAACTAGAATAAGACAGGCAAAGAGGTGTCCTATCCCCACAGGTGGTACCTGAGTATGGCAGGATCAGGTGCAATATGGTTATCTTGAAGGAAAAACAGTGCCAGGGAGTTTTCTCTGTGGGTTGGAGCAATAACAAATAAGAGTGGGAAGCCCAAGGGAGGGACAGAACAGTTCTCCAGGGTTTTTTTGTTTTGTTTTGTTTTGTTTTGTTTTTTACCTTTTCTTCTTTCTCTTCAGAGGCACGTATAAAAGCAGAGGCTGCCAAGGCTGAAGCAGAAAGGTTGGAGGCGATTCGTAGGCAGAAACAGCAAATGATGGAGGAGAGGGAGAGACTCCATCAGCAGCAAATAAGACAAATGGAGATAGATAAAGCAAACTTTCAGGCACAGCAACAGAGGGAGCAGGAACGTCGACTCCAGGTATTGATTAATTGTTGCATCTCAGGATTGTGTTTCTGGCCCTTCCCTATAAGGATGAAGGCATGAAAGAGTGGCCATTGGGGAGATGCAGACTGCTATGGTGGCTCAGAGTGGAGTCTGTGGAGCTAGACTGCTGGGTTTGCATCAAGCTCAACTTTACCAAATGCATGGTTTAAGCAAGCTATCTATTTATTTTCTCTGTGTGTCCTTTTCTTCTTGTATAGAATGGAAATGACAGTTTCATATATTTTATATTGTGATAATGAAATGCATTAGTACTTGCATTTAGAATGGTATTTGGCATAGAGTAAAAATATAATTTTTTTATATAGGCTGAGGCATTTCTGTCCCACAGTGATTAGCCTTTTCTGTTAATTTGTTAATTGACTGGTCAATCCTTTGTCTTGATCATACCTTGTTACATCAGCTTCATATCGCAGTGTCTTTGCTCTTGTCATCTCTGGTTGATGACCTTGAACTCACAGTGCTTGTTTCACCAAGTCCTGTAGTTTATCATCACTCAACAAGCAGGATTTCTTCTCTCCCAAGCACTGTACAAAGCCCTCTGCATGCATTCTCTCATCTTATCTACTTACTGTGAAGCAGAACTATTTTGTCCTCAGTTTTAAATGAGGTAATCGAGGTCTCAAGGAAATAAGTAAATGCCAGTATCTCACAGTCTTGTGAGTCAATGAAGCTGTCTTTCCAGTGAATGGGATCCGCAGTGTTGCTGTTCTCGAGATCCTTGGAGAATTCCTATGTAAGCACCTCAGACAACATCCCAATCTTGCCCTGACTTAACATGGAAACTATGGGTACCCATTTTTTTAGTAACTACCCTGTGGCATTTTGGGGATTGTAGCTTTTTCCTGAAAGGCATTATTGGCAATCTTGGTGTTTGATCTGCTCAGTCTTTTCTTGTACTTTTCCCTCCAAAGTGTATTGACCTCGAACGTATCCCTCATCTAAGGTCCAGACTCCTCTCCTGATTGCACATCACCTAGACATTGTGCTTTTGTTTCAGTTTCTTCTCTTACAAACATAGTCAATATTTTCCTAAAAATTGGAAAGAGATAGGGATAGAGAATTGAGGTCAAGATGTAACGAAGATTACTGAAGGAAATTGTGTAGTGTAATTGGGAAGGGAGCCCTGGGATGGAATTCTAGAGACAGCAACATTTCAGGGACTGAAACAATGTTTCTGGAGGTAGAGGAAGACCAAAGTGAATAAGTGAATACAGAAGTAAGCTGGAGGTAAATTAGTGGAAGAGGGAGATTCAGGTACTGTTTATTGTTCCTGTGGATTAAAGGAAATAAGGACAAGTCAACAAGCAATCAAAATGAAGCAGACCTTACTTTTTGCTAAGTATTATTATGACTATTTTCACTTAGGAAGAAGCCCAGAGGCTCAAATTGATCCATCAAGCTCAAATTGCAAGATTTCAAGCTCAGATCCAGCAGCTCCAAAGCACAAGGCCTCAGCCACAACCTGATCCATGTTTGATACTCTAAAATGCTAAACATTAAAGCTTCCTTTTCTTATTTCTTCTCACTGAAGACACAAAGGAACAAGAAACTAAAGAACTTGGGACAATCAACATTTAAATGCCTAGTCTTCTGCCTAGTCTTCCAATTTGTCTCTAGGTATTGCAAGTTACCCAGGTGTCTAGTTATTGCAAATTACTACATGGGCTCAGTCAAATGGAAAGGTACCCAGGTCTGGGGTCAGTAGGGCTTCACTTCTACTGCTGGTCATGTGCTGGATACCATCAGAGGGAGGCACCAGTGGTAAAGTAGGAACAATCTGCAGTTCTCACCTGGGTGGAGACTGCTATTCTATGGGCAATGGTACAAATCATCAGCACTGTCAGTTCACCTTCTGCAAAGAGAAATCCCAAGCTGAAAGAAAACAATGTTATCATGAAAGGGAGATCTTTAGAGGATGAAAAGAAATACTACTGTGGAAATTGTGTCATAGGCTTAAGGACTAAAGAAAAAGCCTTTTCCTTTTACTCATCCTCAATAAGTCATGACTTAGAGCATGTTATAATAGGTAACAACTTATTTGTGACTTGATATTTTTGTGTTACATTTTTATAATCCTTTAGCTTGTAAATAGGAGGCATAAGTAATAATGTGTAATTAGCCAAAATTATAATGGTGCTCATTTAATTTTATATTTGTTATAATACTAAAGTTAAATCATCATACCATATGAAAGCCTGCTGGCATTTTTTAAAAAGTATTAATTGTATGGGCTGGGGTTGTGGCTCAGCAGTAGAGTGCTCGCCTAGCATGTGTCAGGCCCTGGATTCCATCCTCAGCACCACATAAAAATAAATAAATAAATAAATAAATAAATATATTGTGTTCAACTACAACTAAAAAATTAAAAAAGTATTGATTGTACAAATGTATCTGTTAGTACCTAGTTTTAACTATGAAAATATTTTTAAACCATAACTCTGTTGCTTTGCTTTTATGTCTCTCAGTATATAAAATTCTATTGGGAAAGCTTCTGAATTTCCCTCAGAAGATCAGGAATTACTTTAAAACTGGAACTAAATTGCTTTTTGCAATATCTTTTTGTTTTCTGTTTGTTGTGTTTAACTCTAGTAAAATATGCTTTAAAAATTATAGGACCACCCCACAAAGCTCTAGTTTTTTCTCCCTTATAACTGTTTGCTTATGTAAAGATTTTACTTTGGGTGATATTATAGGATCTTTACGTTTTTTTTAAGTTCCTCAAAATATGATTTACTCATATGCAAAAGAAATACACATTAATGTTATTGACTGTACTTTTTCTTATGCTTTGGAGTGTTTTATTTCTCTGAATTTCTCATAGTATTGCAGCAATAGTAAACATGTATGATTTCTTTATTCCTTAGCATCATAAATAGCTAATAAAAGCAGGTAATATTTTGTCAGTGCCTGTTGTGGTCACTGTAATACCTCATGCATTGTTCACAAAATCCTTTGAGCATGCAGTATTGCTTTATTACAATTATCATTACTTAAAATATTTCATATTTATTAGTGTTATTATTATTAAAGTTATTACTTTTAAGGCATTCAAGATAATTAAGTCACCTAGAGGCAATGCTGCAGAGGCTTTTCAGATCTGGACCCTTCATCTTAAAACTGTTTTTCTTGTCTTGCTTAGTAAGACAATATTTCTATAAATATTAAGTAATATGTTAAAATCTAGAGAACAGTACTAAAATAATGAAAACCAAAATCAGAGTGTCAAAACAATGAAAAAGTATTCAACACAAAAAGTAAGGAGACTATCAAAAATAAAAGTTAAAAGTGTGGTAATGACTCTTGAATATACAGATCACCAATAAAACAGAATGGAAAGTCCAAAATAAACTATGTAGGAAGCATGGAGAGTAAAGGTGAAATTCTAAATAGAAAGAGACAGCTGCATGGCCACTTAGAAAGAGATCATGTCAGAACCAGATCTTATATCATACACTAAAAACAACAACAAGAAAAAGAGTTTAAAGTATAAAGATGTAAAACCCATTTTAAAATCCAAGGTTATATTTTTTCTGAACCTATAGGAGAGGGCCTTTCTCTGAGTCAAACCTATTTTGAAGTGTCTCTTGGTCTCATAACTCAATCAGTTACAACACAATCTCTTGATCCTTTTCAAAGTAAGATTTTGATAAGTTACATCCCCTCCTTTGCTTTTAAAAATTATAAAATATGACACATTCAGACGAGTGCATCAAATATAAAGCATACAAATAATATAAATTGTAACACCACACCCTAGAAGCAAATTCAGCCTTGCTAAAACCCCAAAGGAGTATATTACAACTTCTGACAACCTTGCTAGAGAAAACCAGTATCACAACTCTTGAATTCCCCCTGGACTGTATCATATACAGGCGATGTCTGAAATACTGTAATTTAGTTTGCTCTGCTTTCCATACAAAAAAGTTTTTGTTGCATGTCTTCTTTTGTACTTTTGTTCATTTGTTAAAGATTTGTTAATGATTCTTCTAGTTCATTGTGTAGTTGAAAAATGTATTGTACAAAGTAACATTGAGTTGTTTGTAATGCTATTGATAAATATGTAAATTCTCATGTTTATCTTTTATGAAATATTATTAAGTATATTTTGAAATATGCATATACATGTATATGCATGTATACATGCAAAATTCCCTGTGTAACACCCATAGGAATGGACTTTCCAGGTCATAGAGGAGGTGAATCTTGTCCTATTATATAAGGTTTACCATGACTTGTTTTTCTAGCAAACTACATACTTCAAAACAAAGAATGACAGTCTCCACACCAAAAGTTTTCACATTTGGTAGTGGAGGGGCTATGTGGTAGATCTTATTAAGACATTAATTTGCTTTTTTTATATGAGTCAGGTGGAATGCCTCTTTGTGTGTTTATTTGTTTACTAGTTCTTTTCCATGTTTTGTGGTGTCTTTCATGTGTTTTTGACATGTTCTGCCTTTTTCTTGATTTTTTAGGAGATTTTAAAATATAAAACTCAAAAAAAATTTAAAAAAATTAAAAAATAAAATATAAAAGTCCTGAGTCTTGGGGGTTTGGATGACTGTCAAAGTCATTTTTTTATTCTATGATTTCCTTTAACACTTTTTAGAATTTTTTGTAAAAAATAGTTGTAATTTTAGTGCAGTCAATAAAATTTTACTTTCTAGCAGGTGAGGTGTTTGTGTGTGCCTCTGTGTGTGTCTTTAGTAACATTTTTTTTTTTTTGCATCCAAGGACATGATGGTACTTATCTATATATCTTCTAAAATGTATTTTTCTTTTTCATGAGCACATCTATATTTGAATAACAATTGAAAGTCTATGTGTTGTGAATTTTGGGTCCAAAGTATTTTTCTGGAGAAGGATGATCTATTTTCCCGAAACAATTTTAACAGAAGATAGTTTTTGTCTATAAACTTATGTAGAAATAACTCTAAGTTAAATATCAGTATATGACTGTATCTGGGACTCTGTCAATTGTTCTTTTGGCCTATTTACCCACTCTGGTGCAAATATAACAATGCATCATTAACTAATTTAATAAGTTTTTAATTCTGCTATACTCAGTGTTTGTATAATGTTCTTCAAAAGTTTCTTGACTCTACCCTGAACATTAGCATTTCCATATAAATTTTAGGATCACTCTATACCTACTGGAAATGTTTATATTTTCACCAGGAGTCCAATAACATTTTTTTCATCATTTTTTTTAAAAAAAACTCTGTGTTTTCATTCATTACAAAAATTTTTACTAGGTAAAGAATTTGGGGTTGCCATTTTCTTTTTAGTATCCTAGAGATGCTTTTCTATTTTCTCTCACTTTTATAGTTTCCATACAAAACTGCTCCCATTTTTACTTTTAATTGCCCATATGTAAGATTTCCTCTAGTTGCCTCCAGAATGCTTACTTTATGTTAGGTTTCATTGTATTGTCTATGATGTGCACTAGTGTATTTTTTCTTGTATTTGTACTGCTTGGGTTCTCTGAACTTGTGGATCATGCTTTGTTGTCTTTGAGTAGTGCCACAGTCTGGCTGAGCACAAAAATCACGAGCCACTCAAACAGGAACACATTTTATTTTTGAAACTCCCGCCAATGCCCTGTATGCTCCCGGGAAATATGCCGACCCACACACGTGGCATTCTCCTGGACCCACACACCAACAGGAAATCCCTCCTCCGGAATTCCCTCCTACCGCATTTCCCCAACCAATGAGAACTCTCCGGGAGTCCCGCTAGAGCTCCAAAGTAGCAGGCCCCAGGCAGACAGCAGGGGTCTAATATCCATTTGAATGCAGATCTTAACATAATCATATCATCTCAATGGCTTGCTGGCGTCACCTTTCAACCAAAAATGCCATTTTTACTTGGCTATGGCTCTTAGCAGAGTAGTTTTAGAAAGCTCTCAGCCTTGTTCTCTTCCCTTTTCATTTCCTCTTTTGGAATCCCCTTCACATTTACACTAAACCCTTTGATGCTGGTTTTGGGGACACCCTGAGCTACTAGGAACTCAGTTATCATTGATTTCACTCATGACTCTTCGTGCTGCTGTTTAGTTAATTTTATTGACCTATTTCAAGGGCTCTGATTGCTCTCTCTGCTGTGTTTATGTCCAGTCTTTTGTTGAGCCACTAAAGAATTCTTCATCACTAATATTGTGCTTTGTGTTTACAGAGTTTGTTAACAGTTTTCACTTTCCTGCTACAAATCCATATCTGTTCATGTATGTTGATCACCTTTCTGCTAGAATCCTTAAACATAATAATTGTAGTGATTTTAGAAGCCCTGTCTGATTGTTCCAAAACTTGTTGGAACAAGTGCTCCTATATCTATGTTTATTTCTTTAAAATAAATATTTTTAACTTCATTTCTCTGTGTGTCTCATAATTATTAAATCATTAATTGCTAAAAAAAAAAAAAAAAACAGTTGAGAATGATACGATAATAGTTGTGCTGCAAATGGACATACCTGTTTTGCTTTAAGATGTTTGGGGACAGGCATGGGTTCAACGTAGTCATACTTCAGCTGGATTTGGGTTTGGTTTTTATGCATAGCTACCTTCAAAGTACCATAAGCCTGAACTTTCACCAGTGACATTCTGCAATGACGTTGATCATTATGTAAGATCTGGTGTGCCAGGGAGTCTCTAGGTATTGCTATCATCTTTCAGTTTGAGCAGACTCTCCATAGTTTTGTCACATGGGCCTTTTCTTTCTTTGTGCTCAACTTCCTGTCTCAGCCTAGGCTGCTTTTACTTGTTACTCAGTTCCAGAATCCTGGTGGGGGCATGAGTTATCTCTTTTCTCCAGGTAGTACATTGTAACTTCAAACCTTGGAAGCCTCTGGGTGTTTCCCAGGGGGTGGGGTGGGGTAGGGGCTTGCCTGTGGCAACCTGACAATGCTCATCTTGTTTTTTTTTTTTTTTTTTTTTAACCAAATGTTCCATAGCAAGGTGTCAAAATGAGACACTCATCCTGTCTGAGTACATTCAGTAGGTGGCAGTACTGAGTGCACTGGGTATAAAACACACACACACACACACACACATAAATTAAAGCAAAACAACTTCTAAAAGATACTGTGACATTTTTTTTTTCCTGGGGTTCAAGTAATAAAATAGAAAAGAACTTCATTTCATTTTAAAAGGCCTCATTAAACTTCATCAATTTAGGAAATTCTTTCTTTCTTTTTTGTACACAAATAGAGCACAATTTTTTTTGTTTCTTTGGTTGTAAACACTGCAGAGTCAAACCATTCATGCAATCATACATGGACACAGGGTAATTATGTCCACCTAATTCCACCATCCTTCCCACCCCTATACCACTCACTATCCTCAGCCCAATCCAAAGTTCCTTCTTTTTTGCTTGCCCATTATGGATCAGCATCCTCATATTAAAGAAATCATTTGGCCTTTGATTTTTGGGAATTGGCTTATTTCGCTTAGCATGATATTCTCCAACTCCATCCACTTACCTGCAAATTCCATAATTTCATTATTTTAAGGCTGAGTAATATTTCATTGTGTATATATAACACAGTTTCTTTATGCATTCATCTATTTTGGGGCAACTAGGTTGGTTCCACAGTTTAGCTATTGTGAATTGAGCTGCTATAAACATTGATGTGGCTGCGTAATTGTAGTATGATGATATTAAGTCCTTTGAGTGAGATAGCTGGGTCAAATGGTGGTTCCCTTCCAAGTTTTCTAAGAGATCTCCATACTGCTTTCCATAATAGATGCAACAATTTGCATTCCCCATCAGCAATGTATAAGTGTACCTTTCCCCCTACATCCTTGCCAACACTTATTGTTGTTGTATTCTTGATAATTGCCATTCTGACTGAAGTGTGATAAAATCTCAGGGTAGTTTGAATTTGTATTTCCCTAATTGCTAGAGATGTGGAGCATTTTTTCATATATTATTTGACCATTTTTTGTATATCTTCTTCTGTGAAGTGTCTGTTTAGTTACTTAGTCCATTTATTGATTGAGATTTTTTTTGGTGTTTTTGAGTTCTTTATTTATCCTGGAGATTTGTGCTCTATCTGATGTGTGTGTAGTAATGATTTTTCTCCCATTCTGTAGGCTCCCGCTTCATGTTATTGATTGTTTCCTTTGCTGAGAAGAAGCTTTTTAATTTGAATCCATTCCTTTTATTTAATCTTGGTTTTACTTCTTATTCTTTAGGAGTCTTGTTAAGGAAGTCAAGTCTTAAGCCAATATGATGAAGATTTGGGCCTACTTTTACTTCTATTAGGTGCAGGGTCTCTGGTCTAATTCCTAGGTCCTTGATCCACTTTGAGTTGAGTTTTACGCATGGTGAAAGATAGGGGTTCAATTTTATTTTGCTGCATATAGATTTTCAATTTTCCTAGCACCATTTGTCAAAGAGGCTATCTTTTCTCCAATGTATGTTTTTGGTGCCTTTGTCCAGTATGACATAACTGTATTTGTGTGGGTTTGTCTCTGTTTCTTCTATTCTATACCATTGATCTACATGTCTATTTTGGTACCAATATTATGCCATTTTTGTTACTATAACTCTGTAGTATAATTTAAAATCTGCTATTGTGATGCCTCCTTTATTACTTTTCTTGCTAAGGATTGCTTTGGCTATTCTCAGTCTCTTATTTTTTCAAATGAATTTCATGATTGCTTTCAATATTTCTGTGAAAAATGTCATTGGGATTTTAATTGGAATCACATTAAATCTGTATAACACTTTTGGTAGTATGGCCATTTTGACAATATTAATTCTGCCTATCCAAGACATGGGAGATCTTTCTATCTTCTAAGGTCTTTTTTAATTTCTTTCTTTAGTGTTCTGCAGTTTTTATTGTAGAGGTCTTCCACTTCTTTTGTTATATTGATTTCCAAGTATTTATTTATTTAATTTTGAGGTTATTGTGAATGGAGTAATTTTTCTAATTTCTCTTTCAAAGGATTCATCAGTGATGTATAAAAATGCATTTGATTTATGGGTATTGATTTTATAAACTGCTACTTTCCTGAATTCATTTATTGGTTCTAGAAGTTTTCTGGTGGAATTTTTTGGGTCTTCTAAATATAGAATCATGTCTTCAACAAATAAAAATTGTTCAAGTTCTTCTTTTCCTATTCATTTTACTTTAACTTCTTTCACCTAATTGCTCTGGCTAGAGCTTCAAGGGTTATGTTGAATAGAAGGGGTGAAAAAGGGCATCCTAGTCTTATTTGAATTTTTACAGGGAATGCTTTTCTCCATTTAGAATGATGTTGGCCTTGTGCTTAGCATATATAGCTATTAAAATGTTGAGGTATGTTCCTACTATTCCTAGTTTTTCTAATGTTTTGAACACAAAGAAGTGCTATTCATATAATTCTTGTCATTAAGTTTATTGATGTGATGAATTACATTTATTGATTTCTGTATGTGAAACAAATCTTGCATCCATGGGATGAACCCCACTTAATATTGGTGCTTTATCTTCCTCAATGTTTTTGTATGTGATGAGACAGAATTTTATTGAGAATTTTTGCATCTATATTCATCAGGGATAATGTCCTAAAGTTTTCTTTCCTTGAAGTGTCTTTGTCTGGTTTTGGTATCAGAGTGATACTAGTCTCATAGAATGAGTTTGGAAGGGTTCCCTCCTTTTCTATTTCATGGAACACTCTGAGGAGTATTGGTTTAGTTCTTCTTTGAAGGTCTCGGCTAAGAATCCATCTGGTCCAGGGCTGTTGGTAGGCTTTTGATGGTGTCTTCAATTTCATTGCTTGAAATTGATCTGTTGAAATTGTGTAGGTCCTCTTGATTCAGTTTGGGTAGATCATATGACTCTAGAAATTTTTTGAAGTCTTTGCCCCATTTCTATTATATTAGAGTACAAATTTTCAAAGTAGTTTCTAATTATGTTCTATATTTTAGTAGTATCTGTCATGATATTTCCTTTTTCATCACAAATTTTAGTAATTTGAGTTTTCTTTCTCTTTCATTCATTAGCGTGGCTGAGGGTTTATCAATTTTATTTATTTTTTCAAAGAACCAGCTTTTTGTTTTGTCAATGTTTTCAATTGTTTCTTTTGTTTCAATTTATTGATTTCAGCTCTGATTTTAATCATTTCCTATCTACTACTGCTTTTGGTGTTGATTTGTTCTTTTTCTAGGGCTTTGAGATGTGATGTTAGGTTATTTATTTGTTGACTTTTTATTTTTTTTAATGAATGAGCTCAATGCAATGAACTTTTCTCTTAGCACTGCCTTCATAGTGTCCCAGAGATTTTGGTATGTTGTATTGGTGTTCTCATTTACTTCTAAGAATTTTTTATCTCCTCCTTGATGTCTTCTGCTATCCATTTGTCATTCAATTGCATATTTTTAGTTTCCATATATTGGAGTAGCTTCTATTTTTTATTTTTTCATTGATTTCTAATTTCATCCCATTATGATCTGATAGAATACAGGGTAGTATCCCTATTTATTTATTTATTTTTTAATTTGCTAAGAGCTGCTTTGTGGCATAATATATAGTCTATTTTAAAGAATGATCCATGTGCTACTGTGAAGAAAGTGTATTTGCTCATTCATGGATGAAATATTCTATATAAGTCTGTTAGGTCTAAATTATTGATTGTATAGTTTCTTTGATTAGTTTTTGTTGAAGATCAATCCAGTGGTGAGATAAGTGTGTCAAAGTCACCCACTATAGTTGTGTAATGAACTATTTAATTCTTGAAATTGAGAAGGGTTTGTTTGATGTATGTAGATTCTCCATTGTTTGGGGCATAAATATTTGTGATTGTTGTGTCTTGTTGATGTATGATTCCCTTTTTTATTCTTTCTGAATAATATCAAATTTCACCATGACATAGTATAATAAGAGTACATTTAACAAGTTGTGATAGCAAAGAATGTTTATAAATTCACTTTAAAGGTGAAATTTCCAATAAGTGTTTTACCACCAACTTAGCCCATTGAAACTAGGATGGACTGATTAGGATACAGCTCTCAAAGTCTAATCGTTTCAGCTCTGATAATTTCTGCATTAACACAGAGCCTTTGGAATACACCTTATATCCAAACCATTATATTCTTCTCCTGTTGCCCAAAAGCTCATGTCCATCTCACAGTGCAAAATGCATTCAGTCCATGACTAACGGTCTTATTATCTTAACTGTTCCAGCATTGCTCAAATGTCCAAGTCCAAAGTCTCATTTGAGACTCTTTGGAAAATATTGGCTGTGAAACTATAAAAACCTAACGCAAGCTACATATGTTCAATAATTAATGGCACAGAGTTGATATTTTCATCCTAAAAGGGAGGAATTGAGGCATAGAAAAAGGGATGGGACCAAAAGAAGATCAAAACCTAGCCAGGCAAATATGTCCTGTATCTCCACGTATAGCTTCTAGGACATATGGTCACAAGATGTGCTCAACTAAGGACTTAGGCAGTCCCATCCTTTTGGACTTACTAGTTGAAGCACATATGGTTCCTCTTTTAGCCAGGCTCTCTTCACATCTGTAGATTTTCTTGGCAGAAAGTTCACATTACTGGCATCTCTTACAGATGGGTCTCTCTTTCAGCTTTGGCTTCACATTTACAGCTATACCCATTGCCCTCTGAGGGTCAGTATACAAGGATTCTGACTCTGCTGCTACACCTTTCATTACTTACCAGATCTGCATTTGAAATCTTGGTGGAAGCCTTCATGATCCCCTAACTCTAGCATCCTGCATTCCAGAAAAACAGAACCTTGTTAATGATGCCAAGGTCTGTTTCCAACCTGTGCAATGCTTGGGCTTGCTGGCTCATGGTTGCAGTGGCCTCTGTATGCCTGGGCAGCTGAGCATGGTGAAACAACTTTCTAGGTTCCCTATGCAAGCAATCTGCCTCCACACTGTGTTCTCAAAGAGATTTTTACTTTTACACCCTTGACCTGCAATGTGTGTGGTCTTAGAAATTTCTGAGATGCCCTCAAACCATTTTTCCTATTGTCTCTGTTGTAAAATACTTAATATCTGAAGTATCTGTTGTAATCTCTTCAATAAGCACAACTTACTTGGCACCCCCCCCCCCTCACTTAGCATGCAATTTTTTGGTTAAACTGCAAGTTTTTCAAATCCTTCAGCTCTGCTTTCTGCTACCAATTCTTACAGTAAATGTGGCCAAAATTTGCCAGCTAAATCCATGCCACTACCTGAATGCTGTGCTACCTTGAAATTCTCTCCACCAGATTTTTAATCTGTCTCTTTTAAATTTAGCCTCATACAAAATTTCAGCACATATCTAAAATATAGGCAAGTTCTTTGCTAGAATATAACATTAGTGGCTTCTAGTCCAATTTTCTAGAGAATTCTCTTTAAAAATCTGCATTTTGGTCTTATTTGTTCCACCAGACTGGCCTGTTAAGCAAGACTTACAACATTCTAAAGCTTCTCCAAACTTTTCCAAATTCCTTTTGTAAAGCAGCCACAAAACTTCTTGAACCACATGGTCAAGTTAGTCAAATAATTACCCACTCCAGGTACCAATTTTTGTGTTTGTCAATTTTTTGTTACTATGATAAGAATACCTGATAAGAACAAGTTAGAGACCCACTTGAGTCATATGTATGAAAGATGATATGTCATGAGCTCTGTAATGTTTTCAACAACCAATAATTAAAAAAGAACAAGTTATAGGATGGAAAGCTTATTTGGGCTCCTGATTTTAGAGATTTAGTCCATGTGGACTGTCATTGCAGTGGGCTTAAAAGAGGAAGAACACTGTGGTCAAAGGCATGGAGGAATGCGGTGGGAGCACTACATCTTTATTTGTGCACGCGAGCAGAGAGAGAGAGAGAAAGGTTAAGGGACCACAGTGACGTTGTACCCACCTCTACCAAACATGCCCCATCTGCCTACATTTAACTACCCAGTCAGTCCATTCTAACTAGGATGGACTGGACTGGGTTATAGCTCTCATAATTCAATCATTGCACCTGTAAGTATCCCTGCATTAACAAAGGATCCTTTGGGTAAACTCATACCTAACCCACAACAAAGCATTATACTTATAAATGCACATGTAAATATTTTTATTGATATGCAAAGAGCATTGTTAGTGACATATGAGTACTTTTTCAGAGAAGGTAAATGTGGAAAGCAAAGACAAGAAATTAACAAAAAATATTAATTTCACAATAATGGATGGACAAAGGTATCAGGAAGAAGTGCAGATAGCCTCATGGTGTGTGGTGCAGGAGAGCTGTACCTCAGGTGGCTCAGCATCTCCATTTGGTCCAGAGACGGCTGTGGGGAGAAAACTTATGCCAGACATTACCACAATGTGCTGCTCCTCCTGATGTGTTCACTTAAGCCTGCAATAAAGACCTCTACAAGGGACACAAGAGTTCATCTTTGTTTGTCAACTTTCTTTTTGTTGCTGTCACCAAATAACCTGACAAGAAAAAAATGTAGAGGAAGAAAAGTTTAATTGTTTCTCGGTTTCAAAGCTTCAGAGCACAGACAACCAAATCCATTGTATCCATTGCTCTGGGCCAATGATGAGGCTGATCACCAGAGTGGAAAGGCATGGCATAAGAAAGCAGAGCAGGCCAGGCACCAGGAAGCAGAGGGAGAGAGTTCTGCTTACCAGAACAAAATATAAACCCCAAAGTTCTCCCACAGTGACCCACCTCTTCTAGCCATTCCATATCAGTGCATCAATTCACTGATTAGGTTAAAGCTTTCATAACCCAATCATTTCACCTCTAAACTGTCTTTCATCGTCTTAAACACGAGCTTTTGGGGAACACCTCATATCTAAAGCAAGATAGCACTTTACCATCATGTCTGAAATGTGTGCTTGTGTTGTTTCTGGAACTGAGGGAACAAACCTCAGTCCTTGCACAGCTATTGCTCTAGGGTCACTTCCTCTTGCCTGCTACTTCCTGTCCTCATGTGCTTCCTGGAGGCTCCTTGCTGAGCACTGTAGAAACAGAGAGAAAAGAGGTTTACCTTTCAGACACCTTAAATGCGAGAATTTGTTTCTTGCATATTTTGGTAGTAGCCATGCTTGAGATTGCAAAGATTCTCTAACATAGAAAAATTCCATCTCATTTGCGCTGGACATCTGTAAAAGTAACACTGATGTTTATTCTCGTTTGTTTATCCTGACCTTTTATAAATGCATTGCATATGCACAAATTACATCAGAACTGCCTGTGGTACTTGTTTCAAATGCAGAAAGAAAAGAGGGAGAGTGAAGCCAGAGAGTTGGAAAGGGGCATGAGAGTTGTTGGTTACTTCAAATATGAGAGGCCAAGACATCTCAGGCAAAAGTTCCCACATCCACATCTTTAGTGAAATCCACTGCACTCCCATGTTCTGTCTGGATAGTCTTACATATGGGAGTGACAGTGTCTTGTCTTCCACAGCTGGGAGGTCATCTTCACCATGCCTGAAAAGTCAAGCTACAGACGTCACACAACAACCCAATATGGCCTCAGTCTCTCCTTGAAGCCATTTAAGTGTCTCTGGAATGAACTGAGAATTAGACCTTGATCTGCTTTTTCTTCAGGAAAATATGTACTGAACAGGGATATGAGAAGGATTTTGAGAGTCTAGACATGTTGTGAGTCTTTATTTTAGTGCTCACAAAGTAGATGTGTTTCATTTGTGTAAATTGAGTGAGTTGTACATTTATGAACTATGCACTTTTCCTTATTTATATTTATGTTTCAAATAGTTTATTTAAATCTTATTTAGGAATGAATCTAACTAAATTTGCCAGGCTATACAAGATCATTATTCAATATTCCTGAGAGATTTAGGGTTAACAAGTGAAAAAGAAATCTAGATAATGTATTATAATATCCTGTAGTTTTAAGATATCATTTCTCCCCACATTTATCTTTAGATTCAATGCAATTCCAAACAAAATTCCACTGGATGTTTTGGGTGAAGCTTTATTTAAAATTTATAGAAAATGCAAAAGCTGGGGCTGGGGGTGTGGCTCAAGTGGTAGCACACTCGCCTGGCATGCACGGGGCACTGGGTTCTATCCTCAGCACCACATTAAAAATAAAATAAAGATGTTGTGTCCACCGAAAACTAAAAATAAGAATTAAAATTTTTTTCTCTCTCTCTCTTTAAAAAAAAAGAAAATGCAAAAGCTCAAACATTGTTATTCCATTTGTGAATAAAAACAAAGACTAGAGAGTTCATGGAGAACAGTGCTGTTGCAAGTACAGAGCAACAGAGCAGTACAGCTGAGCAGAGGGCACAGAACAGGTTTACACTTACATGGACAGCCAAGTCACTGCAATTACAGGGAGAGGATAATCTTTCTCTAAATGGTTCCAGGCTAGCTTATATCTGTATGTGAAAGAAATAAAACTCAATTAAATAATACTCCTGGCATTCAGGGAAAAATCAATTTTAGGTGAATGTTAGATCAAAATGTGAAGGAAAACCAATTTTTTCAGAAATTGTCAAGATATTCTTTCATGTCTTCTAGGTTGGGAAATAGGACAGAAAAGCACTAAATGTAAACAAAGAATATATCAGTTTAACTATATTAAAATGAAGAACTCTTATTCTTCAAAGACAACATTAAGAAAATGAAAAGGCAAACCAAAGATTAACAGAACACACACACACACACACACACACACACAACTCAAAACTATACACTCACTGGATTCATGCCAATTTAAAGTTCTGGCACTGTGAGAGGTGGTGAGTATGTGAAACATTGTAAATTGTTATTCTTTCCTGGTGAGAATATAAATTGGGAAAGTTGTACTGATGTAATTATCTACCCTGAAATGAACAAATACACACTATGTAACTAAATTGTTCTCCTCCTAGGTACATATAGAAACATCTTATTATTACTGAACTTAACAACTTGAATAAATCTAAAAATGTAATGATGAACCCACATTGTAAAACATCACAAAACAGCAGTGTAACTCAGTTCATATAATTACACACATGAGATAATAGCAAGTTGTGGTGTTGAGAGATAAGTTTCTTGATTAGTTATGTTAGTACCAAACAAGTTTCCCCAAAACTTAGTGGCTTGAAACAACACTTTCTATCTCACAGTTTCTGAAGATCACTTGAATCCAGGTGTGATTTAGCAGATCCTTTGCTTCTGTCTCTCACAGGCTACAGTTGAGATTCAAGCTGGGGCTCTAGTCATCTCAAGGTTCCCCTAAGGAATGAGCCTCTTCCCAAGTGGGCTCGTGTGGTCCTAGGTGGAATTGATCCTCGGTTGATGGAAGCACGGTTCAACTTACTCACATTCAGACACTAGGCAGACTTTTTCTACTAAAAATTTCATCTGTAGCATTTTTAATGTATTGCCAAATCAAAACCTACTTAGATTTTACCATACTTTTCCTACCGTCAGTGGTGACTAGGTTTTGGAATTCCTCTACCAGAAAGTTATTTATAATAAACTGAGTTCTTTGTTATTAGACAAAGTCTTTGCACAAATATGTGAATATTATCTTTTTCTCTGTAAAATTCTTGGATACAATATTGTGTTTTCTATAATATTATGGATAAGAGGCTTAATATTTCTTACATATAGGTGAGCAGTAATGAATCAAATACCTTCCTTTTTGCAGTCGCACCAGCAATGTATGCATTTTTCCCCATATCCTCACCAACATTTATTGTTGCTTGTATTCTTGATAATTGCCATTTTCTGAATGGAGTGACATAAAATCTTAGAGGAGTTTTGATTTGCGTTTTTCTAACTGCTAGAGATGTTGAACATTTTTTCATGTATTTGTTGATCAATTGATCTTTTTTTTTTTTTTTTTTTTTTTGCCTGAAGTGTCTGTAAAGTTTCTTAGCCCACTTATTGATTTGGTTGCCGGTGTGACTGCAAATTGGTGCAAACATTATGGAAAGCAGTAAGGAGATTCCTCAATAAACTTGTAATGTAACAATAGTTTGACAGGGCTATCCCACTTCTCGGTTTATACCCAAAGGACTTAAAATCAGCATACTACAGTGATGCAGCCACATCACTTTTATAGCAGCTCAAATCACAATAGCCAAACTATGGAACCAACTTAGATGCCTTAATTGAAGAAGCAACACTAAATTAGCTTGGTTTAGATGTTCACTGTAGCACCAGTGAACTGTGCCCTTAAGATGGGGTGGGGAGTGATTTGTGAGAAGTTTTAATTAAGTTAAGTGTCCACATCAAATTCATGTCACATTTTTCAAATATTGAAAATAATATAGCCATAAACTAGTGAACACTGTGCAGGGAGTTATAGCAAATGCTTAGTAAATGACTTCCTTTCCAGAAGTCATTGTGTATTAAGTGCCAACACCCTTGTTTTTTCCTGTATATTGAAGTTCTCAGCTACTGAAACTACTATAAAAACAACAAATTAACTACTACATGAGTGCATTTAACATTTCAGTAAACCAGACCTACAAAAGTTTGTTCTTCCCAACTGGAGATAAATATTATCATATCTCAAGCTAGGTCAGATAACACACCCTTGAAAAACTCACAAAAGCTCTCAAAATTCTCCTTCCATAACACTATGCAATTTCTTGGAAATCAGGTCAAGTATATCCAAACCTTCCACCAGAGGACGTTCAGAATATTCGCTTTGCAACTACCTAGTCACTGAATTTACTCTGTGGTTTCACTTTCCTGTAGAGAAGTTTTGTAAATTCCTTCTGAATTTTGGTGTGCTTATATTTCATATTCAAGTTGCCTGATGGGAGGTGAGAGCTGAGGATGAAAGAAAATCCCCAGGATTGGGGGAAGATGCATCACAGCTAAAATAAAGGATAATTGTTAGAACTAACCCTTACCAATCCCTCCTGGAAGCAGCTTTTCTGCCATGTCTAAAAGATCTCTGCTCCAGATTTCACATAGATAAGGTAAGATCACAGGCAGGGTAGAAAGAGATTTGCAAGGTTCAGTAAGTTTTAAAAATATTAAATATTAAAAATTAATATAGAGTGTAGTTCTGCTTGATGTGCTACATAATGGAGGTATTGAAAACTAAATTGTGGTTTAGCCAGAAAGCAGAATTCATTAAATTGTTTTTTTGCTGTATTAGATACAATACTGAGTATGGACTAACTAAGAGTTTAATATGTCTAAATATTGTTTTTCTTCTTATAACATCTTATGTTCCATCAGAGTTACCTTTGTCTTCACTAAAACCTGTTTTGCTGATTTCAACTGTAGCCTGAAAGTTTTAAGAAGTTTTTATTATTTTCGTCAGACAGAACAGTAAATGAAAAGCCAATCAATGTAATTATTTCCCGGCATTGTTAAGGACAAAAAAAAAAAAAAAAGATAGAAAAAGAAAACAGTTGAAACCCAGCATAAACAATGAAAAGTTTTCTTGACAAACAGCAATATATTGTTATTCATAGTCTTGTACTTTGAATGTAGTTTCTCCCTTCAGAAATCATATTAGCTTGCCCCCTACCTCCCAATGCCATCCACTCCTGCAGCCTCCTTGCTAAGAGCCAAGTATATGATGCATGGCATTTTTGGTCGAAAGGTGACGCCAGCTAGCCATTGAGATGATATGATTATGTTAAGATTTGCATTCATATGGATATTGGACTCCTGCTGTTCACCTAGGCCGGCTATGGGACTCCTGGAGAGTTCCCATTGGTTGGGGAAGTACAGTAGGAGGGAGTTCCGGGGGAGGAGCTCTCTCTGCAGGTCCAAGAGGAGGCCGCGTGGGTGGAAAAAATCTGCCCGGGCGGTACTGGACATTGGCGGCAGTTTCAAAAAATAAACTTTGTTCCTGCTTGAGTGGCTCGTGATTTTGTGCCCAGCCAGACTGCGGCACCTCCTTAGTCCTTTTTGTGTTATTTTCTATTTCTTCTACTCTATTACCTCTGCTGTTATGGTCACTTGAATTCAACAGCTCCATTGCTGTCCTCTGGGATGCATTCTCTCCAACTGTGGTAGAGGCCCATGACTTTTATAAATGAAAACAATTCAAGAGTGAATCAAAACACATAGAAAACAAATGCACATTTGGGTTTGTAGTGAGCTAGATTTAATTTCCAAACTCAATATTGGTCTGGCAATTTTGTTACTCCTTTGCCTCCCTCCTCTGAACTTCCTTCCATGGCACATGCTCATGCATCTCATACTTGTTTGATTTCCATGTATCTTCAGTGCCTTTTCCTTTCCCTCCAAACTCAAAAAAAAAAAAAAAAAAAAAAAAGAAAAGAAAAATAAAAAAAACTGCACAAAATAAATCAAAAGATTAAAAAACAACAATAAAATCGCAAAAAAAAAAAAAAAAAAAAAAACTAATCTAGGCTCATATGGATTAAAAAGAGAATTGTTTTCTTCCAGAAAAATTGATCACCAGCATTTCTTAGCATTTTCTTATATTTCTTGGCATTTTTATTTGAACTTTTTTTCTCTCCTGAAAACTTCTCTTATTTAAGGTAGTAATTGTACTGATATAAATACAGTCATTAACTTCCACTTTTTAGGAAACAGGCTTAAGGAGTTGAGTGAAATGTCAATGTGATAGCCAGTTACAGGGCTGAGTGATTGGAAATTAAACTTACCTCACTACAAACCCAAATGTGCATTTGTTTTCTATGTGTTTTGACCTACTCTTGCATTGTTTTCTTTTATAAAAGTCATGGGCTCTACCAGAGTTGGAGAGAATGCATCCCAGAGACACCACAGGCTGTGTTGTAAATGGCAGAGCAGCAGTTATGTGTGTGGCTCAAACACAGTAAATATTCAAAGCTGTGTCAGAGATTTGGCTGTTTTGCAACCACTAAAGATGCTATCCGGATAGCATCTGGGAACAACATATAAAATGCTATCATTAATACAGATATACATGTTAATGCTATTCATGAGGAAGTCTAAAACCTCAAAGTTGTTCCCTCCCACATTAGTCACCCCAAAGCATCAGAGTTTGTAAACTCAGAATATCTATATATCCAGATTTGGTTTATATAACTTCTGTTTTTATAGCTAATTAGTGTAGATAATAATTGGCAGTGTCCAGGTCTTTCTAATCTAACCTTTTTTCTGCTACAAGTAAGTCAGGCAGCCAGATTCTACTAATATAAAATACCAAGATTGCATTAGAAGTAGATTAGAATGGAAAGAAACCTGGAATCTGAGCATCTAAACTCTTCCTGAAATCGCCTCTAGTCAGGCTTATACTAGACACATTCCCTGACTTCCATGCCTTTAGGGCTGTGCCATTTGTGAAGGTAAACTGTGACTTCCTACTTTTACTTCCAAGCAGCAGTTATTGTTTTAAATTGTCTTTCATCAAAAGGATTGACAGGGCTTTGGCCATAAAAAAAGGGGGGAGAATTAATTTTTATTGTTGTCAAAATCAGCAACGACAACAAAGAAATTCACAGTTTGTATAGTCTGCTAGAACAAAAAAATCCAGAAGTTTTCATTTTAAGATATCCATAAAAAATAAAGTCAAACAGATTGTAAATTTTTAGCTTCTATATAAATTTTTAGCTTTCTAAAATGGTAGAAAACTCTCCTTAATAGTATGACAAGTCAGAAAAGCAAATATTTGTTTATGTCTCTGTAGCTTAAAAATATTTTACCAGAGATTCCTCAGGTTATAGGAGTTAAAACACAGAAGTAGAAAGTAAGTAGTTAAACATTAATATTTGTCTTCCACTCATTTAGCCAGTCAGAAAATGATCATGATTTGAAGTTTTATTTCAATAAAGGAATTTATTAAGTAAAAAACTCTTCAAAAAGTATAGCTCTAAGAAGTAAAAAACACCTGCTATTTGTTGGATAATGCTACACAATGGCCTAGACATATTTAATGCAATGCAGTTTGGACATGGACCTAAATAAGAGATAACCAAAAATTTATATTTAGCGATTAATGGAATTAAATAATCAAGCTAGGAAGATAAGAAGGAACAAAAGTAAACCAAAAATCCAGTGGGATGAATTAGATGCAAAGAATCAGTAGGTAAGATTCAGGAAATAAATTTTCTATATCCATCAAATATTTACAAACAAGCAATGGACCTGATAGCAGGCCTAGGACCTACTTTACTGTGGTGCTCTTTGTTACTTCTTTTCAAATTTTGTTTTTTAACGTCTTCGGAAACTTAGGCCATGCTGAGGAACAGTTATGTTTTCAGGTTCAGGAAGCAAAATGGCTTTCTCTGCTTAAAGACTAGAAACTGCTGCTCATCCTTCCTCTTCCCTTGCAGACAAAGTAACATCCCAGACATGACCTCAGAGACCTACATGCCAGGCCCCATGTGCCTCATCGAGAACATGGAGGGGCAGCTAGTGGTCAAGCAGGAAGCCCTGCAGATCCTGTCGGCCATCACGCAGCCCATGGTGGTGGTGGCCATCGTGGGCATCTACAGCACAGGGAAATCCTACCTGATGAACCAGCTGGCTGGGAAGAAAAAGGGTGAGTGCCACCAACAGAGCTCTGCTGAGCCCTCTGTCCACTGCACTAAGGGCGTCCAGCATGGGATGGTGGGGAGAAAGTTAGAGTCATAGAGGGACAGTGAGAACCAATGTTTGGGCCATAGCTGGGCCTTTTAATTGGAGAGATAAAAGGCAGGTTTCTGTCCCTGACATATAACCTGTTTTTTAAAAAGGTTGACCTTAGACAATGTCTCTCTGTGAGAAACACAATATATTCCCCTCATGAGGAATAAGACATCAATGAAATAATTTCCATATGTGTAGTTATAAACTTTAAAAATTTTACTTGTGTATTATTATTAAAAATGTAAAATTTCCCACTTATGGAATTTGACATTATTTCCCCATTTCTCTATTGTAATGGAGATCAACATTTCCTTATCTTGCTTTCCTTAAACCCTAACTCAATTATCAAGAAATGCCCAATTTCTAGATCCCCTTCTCTGTGACAACCCCTGCACTCCCCTCTGCAGGCTTCTCTGTGGACTCCACGGTGCAGTCTCACACCAAGGGAATCTGGATGTGGTGTGTGCCTCATCCTGAGAAGCCAGGCCACACCTTAGTTCTGCTGGACGCTGAAGGCCTGGGTGATGTAGAGAAGGTAAGGACAGAAGATTCTTTTATGATTAAACTCCTTATCACTGAACACACTTTGCACAAGAAATTTTTCATTTTGTTTTTGTTTGTATAAATTTGTACTTCCACTTGACTATACTGCCTTCCGTTTATTATTTTTATTTTTAATAGTGTTTGGAAGCCTGAAATGAGAAAATATATTTATAATCTACAATCAGTATTAGGAAAAATACACTGATATTTTGCTTAGTAATTCCCAGATGCATAAAAATGGCGCTAATAAAATCACATTACAGGCCTGGTCCTACATTGAATATGGTTAGTAGTGGGCACAGGGTGAAATGAACTTCTCTTCAAACCAGGACTCTGGCACGTTAGCTCTCTGACACTAACAGAAGAATGAGTGTCCCTAAATCTTTTATAATCTCTTTTGTCTTATCCAACTCATCATTGAAAAAGTAGACAAATGAATCCTTTCTATCACCTGGGTCTTTTCTAGTTATATTCTAATAAGAATTCAGCCACCAGTTCACAGACAAAAGAGTGCACTGGATTTGTACCACTTGACCATTCCCTAAATATTCCTACCATAACTAATAACAAGTTACTCAAATGAAGTCACTAAACTCAGACTTGGGAAGAGATGTACACAGTTGGCTCTTATGAGCTGGTTTTTGCACATAACCAAACATTCTCTTCAATGTCTGCTGTTTGTTTTTTATGTTTTGATTTTGATTTTTACTTGTGATTTACCAAGATGTAAAATGGTAAGCCAAAATTTCAGCTTCAGTTTCCTCATCTACAAAATGGAGATATTGATTATGAGCATTATAATTAGATAAGATCAGTAATGTGAACCCCTGTGGATAATAATTATTCAACGAAATAGATATATGTGTTGTGCACATAGGTCAATTTTGTTTTAATATCTGCAAAACCTTGATTCTAACTACTCTGGTTCCCCCATTAACTTTGACTACACCATTTGCAGTTATCTAATGGTAGTTATAAGAGGGACTTGGGAATTCGAAATGTATAAAATTATAAATGAGAAAGTATGAAATTATAAATGAGAAAGTTATGCGAGTTCACGTGTCTGACAATTACTTGTGTTTTCCCTGCTTAACACTTGTATATCAGGATTCTATTTTTAATGATTGTGCATTTGGAAATGCCACTTGATATGACTTCAATTTGTTCTGACTTCTAGGATGATGATCAGAATGATACCTAGATCTTTGCTCTGGCAATCCTTCTGAGCAGCACCTTTGTATACAATGACCAGGGGACTATTTACCTACTACAGTATCCTTTTGTGGTTCAGGATGGCACCAAAGCCACAGAGAACACCACTCATCAGCTGCAGGTCTCTGAGATTTTGTGAATATCCCAAATAAAAATGGGTAGACACATTACGGTACAGTACACTACAGTAAAGAGCCCTCATATTTTCTGATGACAAAATTTGACTTGTCTGTTTGCCAAATTGAAAATCCAGGTTTGGGGACCATGGAATCAAATATGGGCTTAGATGCTGTGCTACTTCTGCTGGTTTCCTTAATCAACTCAGCTATGTGACAGAATTGACAGATCTACTCAGGGCAAGGACATCACCTGACATTGGAGTGGGAGATGCTGATGACAATGTAAGCTTCTTTCCAGACTTGGTGTGGACTCTAAGAGATTTCTACCTAAGCCTGGAAATAGATGGACAACTCATGACAGCAGATGAATACCTGGAGAATTCAGTGAAGACAAAGCAAGATAATTGGACTTCGGTTTTGGGGAAGAGTAAGAAAAGTAACCCAAAAAATAATCTCTTTTGGGTAGAAGGCTAAATGTATAGTTTTCTATATTTATTTACCTATCTGTTTTACAGAATAAACAATGAATATTATTAATTTTCAATGAACTCATGGGTTCAATATCAAATTTTGTTACTCCCTTGTTTTTAGGAAAAAGTTATTTCCTTTTTCTAATTAGACACACTTAATCTGGTTGCCTAGGATTTATGAAGACATATTAAACTGAGGAACACCAAGGAAAAGGACATGTACTCCAGGACAATGTATTAAAGTGAGTGTAAATTCTAAAGAAAATAAATCCTGTTTTTCCTTCTCCAGGTAGTGATCAAAGAACACAAACTTTCAATTTG